GTCATACTCTAGTCGAAGTGTTACATGATACACATCAAGGTATGTCATATCTGTAGGAAGTATTACATGATACACATCAAGGTATGTCATACTATGTAGGAAGTGTTACATAAAACACATCAGGGTATGTTCATACTATGTAGGACAGTGTTGCATGATACACATCAAGGTATGTTCATACTCTGTAGGAAAGTGTTACATGAAAACATCAAGGTATGTTCATACTATGTAGGAGAGTGCTACATGAAACACATCAGGGTATGTTCATACTCTGTAGGAAAGTGTTACATGATACACATCAAGGGTATGTTCATACTCTGTAGGAAAGTGTTACATCAAAACACATCAAGGTATGTTCATACTATGTAGGAAAGTGTTACATAAAACACATCAAAGTATGTTCATACTCTCTAGGAAAGTGTTACATGATACACATCAGGGTATGTTCATACTCTGTAGGAAAGTGTTACATGAAACACATCAGGGGAACTTCCTACTTTATTTCTTCAGGAAGGTGCTTCACCTTTCCAGACGGTGGAAAAAGTCCTAGATGATGATGAAGACCGAAGAAATCCACAGTTTATTCCCAAGAAAGGTGCGTTTTATGAACATGATGACAGAATACACGGAGAAGAAGAGACAGTTGAGAAAAAGAAGCAAGAAGAAGAGATGTAAGCTTTTTTTCTTTATTTATGTTGGTGTTACTATAAGTAGTCTTTTTTTTTTATGAACTGTATAACTTTCCATTTATTGGGAGGCTAGTGCACTTACATTTTATGCTCAGGGTCAGTAATGATTTGTTTCTCTAACATGTGGAAAAAATAACTGTACTCCTAAGAAAGTCATTTAATGAGATTGTATGCTATCATTAAAGGAGAAATAAGCTAAGGTTTGGACATAAACTGTTGCCATTTATTAGCATACTTTTCTGGATTTAGGCTATTGGGAATTAGACTTGCAGACTGCAGCTGTTTGATCAATGTATGCTGCGTTACTGTACATTTAATATTGTACTCTAGTGCTTTATACATAAACATGATTAATGCAAAAACAATTTGTGTCTAGTGAATTTACAAATTTTTCAAAGCCTAATTTTATGGGTTGTGTTTTCTTTCTCCATTGTAGCCCCTACCCTCCTGGTAGCTTAGTGGTAAGTTTCAGGGCTTATAGTGCTAAAAATAAGGATTTGATACTAACTTAGAGTGCAGCACAGATGGTCCATTGTATAGCTTTGTTCTTAACAACAAACTCTCCAGAGCAAGTGTATTTCTGCTGACAGTGCAATTTGCCATTTAGAGGAGGGTAACACCTGCAAATCAGACGATGGTGTAAAATTATTTAAATGTTATAAGTATCAGGTAAAACCTAAATTGTTAATAGCAGTGAATTTGACTAATTTCAACACCCAATTTCAAATAACAAATTTTTTTCCTAGACCTGTTAATGAAAACAAGCTTCTTTTATGCGATACCTGTTGTGTTTTTATATCAGAAAATATCAGTTTAGTATAAGAATAAAATGACACTTTTGTAGCCACTGAACCTACCTATGTTACATCTTATGTGACTATGAACATTATATTATTTAAATAAAAAGGTTTCTCTGTATAATGTGTGTGTGATTATTAATGTACAGACTGGATCATTGAATTTCATTTCCAAAGTGTAAGAAGGGGCCTTCTGGGCCATCCCATTTTTAGTATCACAGTACTCTGACTTATGTGTGGAAATCCTGTTTCTTATTTTCAACCCTGGTCTCTACAATAATCGTCCAAGCTTCTGTCGAACTAGTACTACCACACCTGAAGGCAAACTACTGCATAAGCTAACAACCCTTTAGAAAAGTAACACTTCTTTAATTGGAGTCATGTTTGAGTTTTTTCATGTTTTAAACTCACTTTCTCTAGTCTTACTTTCTGCAAGTTTTATTATGAAAATGTCACGGTGTTCAGATGGAAACAGAATCTAGAGGTGCAGTAAAAAGTACTTGGGACAACAGATATAGAGGTGTAGTAAAAAATACTTGGGACAACAGATCTAGAGGTGTAATAAGAAGTACTTGGGACAACAGAATTTAGAGGTGTAATAAGAAGTACTTGGGACAACAGAATCTAGAGGTGTAGTAAAAAGTACTTGGGACAACAGAATCTAGAGGTGTAGTAAAAAGTACTTGGGACAACCAAATCTAGAGGTGTAAAAACATTAATTATTGACTATTTTATGACATTAATTGATTTAACCATAATTTTGATTAACTGATTATCTTACGTGATACTAACTCATGTAACCAACACTCCTGGTTAATCAATTATACTGATCCATAGAGTTAATTGTTCTGCTCTATTTCTTACTACTTCTCTCAATTTCTTTGTCCCAAGTACTTTTTACTACACCTCTAGATTCTGTTGTCCCAAGTACTTTTTACCGAATTATTACTATTCTTGATTAATTTGAGGCCGTTTGACTTAATTGTTTAGTGTCATGACATACAAAAGTATTCAATTTAATTAGTTTTTCCCATTATAACTACTTTCAATTATTCTTACTGCCCAAATTTACTGAGAGTTATTGATCAATGATCCAGATGATTAATTGTTTAGATAATTCCACTAATTACCTGCATTAACCAGCACTGACAGTTTAGCTTAACATCCGAGATAAATGTTACAAGACATAGAGAGAAGGAAACAACGTATTTTTTATGAATCAAAGCCCATTGATTCTATAGCTAAAACTGTTGTGATAAGGACATCTCCAGTGAATGGTGGACTGTGCTACTGAATTTTTGTTATTAAAGAATAATTATATGCAAACAATTATTTTTTACGTACAATCAATTTCTTTTTTCAACATAATATTGCAAGTTAAACCAAAAATAAACAAACAATTTTTCAACTTGTACCACATAATGAAATAATAATAATACACGTTAAGGGGATAGAGTCCATTATTTTTATAACTTGTGTGGATTAACTGAATGTTTATTACGAATGTGAGCGAATTAATAGAGGCACTGTTTTATTTTTGAAAACACCACTAAGTATAGTCACAAAATTTATGTAACTGTACAGTTGTCTGTATGCATTTTTCTGTTGTTTTTAAACAATTTATGGGAAGAAAATCTTCTGCATAATAACAGACAAACAGCATCATTATTAATCTGGAAAATTTTCTCTAGTTCTTATAACTATTGTTTTTGCATTAATAAAAAATCTTATATTTTTTTTCATTTCATTTTCACTGTCTTTCATTAGTTCTAGTAAAACCGATAATAAGAAAAAGAAAAAGCTGTGGTTGGACAAGGAAAAGTGGGGTCACGATATGTTTCATGAAGAGGAGCAAGCACCAAAGTCGCATGAAGAGGTGGTAGCAGTTTATGGGTATGATATCAGAAGTGAAGATGGTCCCCCGCGAGCTAGGAGGAGGAGGAGATATGGGTATGTAAAATTAAACGACTTTCAACATCTGAGTAAAGCCAAGTTGCACTTAAATTCTTAGTACCCCAACTTTATCTTTTAGTATTTCATTATGTCTCTGCAGAAAGACATACTGTTTCTATTGTTTCTTCTTCTTCCGAATACTTGTCAACTGACTGCCATTCCTTCCTTTCTAAGTGGATTGACTTGAAGCTTGGTAGGGTTATATATTTATCCAATATGCCCAGACATGTTTTTTTTATTATTTAGGCCTTTTTAAGGATTTTATTGGGTGAAAGATTAACAACCCAAAAATGTATATTTTAGGCTTCTGTGTGGTTATATTTACAGTCATCAAGATAAATTGGTATAGATATAAATTTTCATATGCCCAACACACTGACATACAAAAAAGTTGGATTTTCCCATTTTAAGTATCTTTATTTGGTCATTTTAGGGGGGGGGGGCAAAAGGTTAAACCCATAATTTTAGCGGTTTTAGTCAATTATTTAGCTTTGTTTCAACCAACTTACGTGAAATTTGGTACAACGATACTCTTTGCAGGTCCCAAACAGAAATATTGGAATTTTTTCCTTTGCTCACTTTTTCAGCAAGGAAAATACAATTTGGGGTTTTTGTGAGCAATTTGTGTGCATGTCAACTAACATATGAAGGATGTGGTACAAAGATACCTTCTTCCATATCCCAAGTAGTGATATAGACAGTTTTCCATTCTGAGGACTGCCACTTGGTCCTGCTTCAGCTCCTTATGTGTTCTGTTATGTTGTCCATTTTTTTGCACGTCATCTTCACTTGTTGGGTCTTCAGACTCATCATTAGATGAATGACTGGCTACCATCGTTTCTTCCCAGGCCCAGTTTGTCACCCACACCCACTTCCTTCTTCGAGAGTCTGCTCAGGTTGGGTTTCTCATCAGAGTGGAGAAGTCTTTTCTAACCTCTACACAATACCTCTTTCATTTGAGGGTTCTCTTCAATTCCCATCTCAGTCAGGACCGGCCTTCTTCACTTGGGTTCTGGAATATAAAGCAGGTAGTCTCTTGAGCACTATTTTCTCCTTCTCTTACTGATCGAGAGGTTCTATCTCTTTTTGGTATTCCCTTCAGTGGATGCTTCTCGACTAGTGGAAAGTCTCCCACGATCCCTTGGACCATCCTATCGCCCTTCTCCCAATGATCAGGGCCGACCTTATTTGATGGCTCGACAGGGCTCTTACCTAGTTTTGCTTCCAGATTGGGTTCTCAGTGTGGTTCTTCATGCCCTTGCTTGTTCTCCCTTTGAACCCATTGCTACGTGTTCTATGTACCGTCTTTCTCTTAAGACCTAATTCCTTCTCCTCCTAGCTTGTGGTCACAGTCATTCTGATATTTATGCTTCCTGCACCTTTTACCATTCTTCTTGTGCTCTCCTTTATCTGGTTCATTCCTTCCCAAGACATCCGCTGCTTGTGAAGGTTGTTTCTCCTTCTCTCCTATTTCCTTGCCTTCCATTTCCTATTTATACTCCCGTTCAGGTCCGGATAGTCTTCTTTGTCCAGTTGTTTCCCTTCATAATTATATGTTGTGTACTACTTTCATGGTTCCCATTCTCTCCTCTTTATTCCTTGGAATCCTTCTGTTTCCATGATCTTTCTCTTATTACCCTAACTGGTTGGGTTTGGCAACTCATATGACTAGCTTATTCTGACTTGTCCTTGGAAGGTCGTCAGCTGTTTAATGTTTCTTCACGGCAAATATGCCATTTAACTATGTCTTTAGCTGCTCGATTCCACCATTTGGAGGAGATTATTCAAACCATTATGTGGACAACTCCCAATACTTTCATCGCACATTATTTGCATGACCTAGCTGTGTCTTCCTTGGTTGGGTATTGTCTTCTGCCCATGGCGGTTTTCCACAAGTGTGTTCACCTTTGACTGGGGTAAGTTGACATTTTATATTGTATCTATTTTTAGCCTTTATCTTTACAGTTGATTTACATTGGATATCAGGATCCCACCTAGTGGCAGATGTTGCCTGGTCAGGTATACTGAAATGTTTTATCTTAGCACTAACTAACTGTAGAGATGTGTTTCTGTAAGACCACTGGCCACTTACTCGGTGATGTATCTATTTCTATATATAAAAATTTTTTAATCAACATATATCTATATACTGAGGACCGTCTCTCCTGGACTTCACAAGTAAAGCAGATAGGGATTTTTGCCCATCCCTACTGAACTGTGATTCTTACAGTCTGAGTCTTTCTGTTTCCAGTGTGCTGTTTCTTTGGACCCCTCCCACAAGTATCTGCCCTCTTTCTTCTAGTGGAGCATGGAGATCCTTGCTACTTCCGGTTCCCAGTTTCTGGATGGTTGAACATGGAAGTTTCCTCATAAGTGGGATTTGTATGATAAAATGAACTTCATAGTCTTGTGTCTTCTTTCTTCTTTACGGGGCGAAGAGCATACTTCTTCTAAAAGTAGTGCCATACCCCACGGGTGTGTCTCCTATTTTAGTTGTGGCATACTGTTTTTTTTTTATAGGGATTGTTCTCCACTTGTTTGATTGTTTTTGTTGCTTCACTGGCCCCTCCACCTTTCCAGTGTGGGATTCTAGCTTTGGGTGAGAGAAGATTGTGCAGTATGATTGGTGGAGGGCAGTCACATGATCAGCACATTTTGCTGCAATGATGCGAAAAATAAAGGGGTATAAATGACTGGAGCACTGTTCAAAATTTTAGCAGTGCTTAGAGGGCAAATCAAGGTCGAGAAAGTTTTGGATGAAAGAAGTAGTAAGTACTTAAAGGAAATTCATTTTCAGTGTTAGAAAATGTTAACTTTTATATAAGCCAACATCTGCTCCGGTCACAAGAGATAGTGTAATATTTAAATGTCACCATGACTTGCTAAAGTTTCTTTGACCACTCTAGGGTAATATTGGCTGGGAATGCATATGTTGTGATATATAACGGTGCTAAAGAACAGGAAAGGATAATAAATTATTAAAATAAATTATATTTGAAAATGTAAAGATTATTTTAAGATTGTCACAATATATTAAAAGGTATGTACATTTTTCCAATTAACTTTAAACATTTCACTCTAATGTACTATAGACTAAACAGTATATGTTCGATAATAGCTACAGTTAGTAATATCATTGAGAAAGTGAAAAAAATATATATATATATATTTAACTTAAAAAGAACTTTTGATATTCACCTTGGAGGTTCCAGGGGTTAGCAACTGAAATTTGAAGCCTATTTGTTTAAAAAAAAGTATTTTATTATACTCATGTTGTTTTGTTGGTTACACAAAAGGCTACTTGGGTACACTCCCATAAACTTAGAGTTAATCCTATCGGCACGGGTATCCTTTACTGTGCATAACACAAGGTTTTAGTGTCTTACGTTCAAAATTTTGTTAAACTACTTTTGTTTACATTATACCAATTAGAATAGCATAAAATCT